GGGAACAAAAACAAAATCCAAAATTTGCATTTTGTTTTCAGTAATTAGAAAAAAAACATATTATGTGGTGTCCAAAGTAAGTGTTGTTGTAGTCTTGGAGATGTTTGTACCAAGGTTATTTCGTGGTGAATGAACTTTTGACACATGCTCTAGATAATGTCTCTTCCTACCTGTTACTTGTTAATAACATAGTTTTAATTGACGAAGCTAGGTGGAGAATATAGTGCATGTTAAAATTTTAGAGAAGTTGTTTGGATTTAGAAGTTTCTTTTCTAGAACTAAAACATAATAGATTGATTACATGGTTTTAATTGACGAAGCTAGGTGAAGAATATAGTGCATGTTAAAATTTTAGGAGGGAGGAGAGACCAAAATAATATAATTTGACATTGTTTTTAATGATTTGATTTCATTAGATCTGTTCATGGACTTAGGGTTTAGTTGAACAAATTGGTGTAAAATAATTCATGCAGCTAATTTGAATTTAGACAGAGTGCAACTGAGTATGAACATGCTTGGTGTGTCATAATTGAAATTTTTGATCTGCTTTCTTAACTTGAATATCAAATTTGAGTAGGCTTACTGGATGTGTCGACAATATTCTTAAGCTAGTTATGATCACCATTTATGTGGCACTCCCAAGTCAAATTTTAGAAGCCAGAACCTAAGCATCACTAAACTCAACTCAATATATATATTTGAGAGAAGTACACGATTGGCCCATTGAACTAGTCCCGAATTGAGTTATTGTGCCAAGATTCTCATACCATTCAAATTTTGACACATATCATATTATGAGGCGTGTGGGGAAGCAATAATGGAAGTTCTAACTCCTTGAAGTTATAAAGTAACATTAAATTTCTCCCTTTACATCCTAAATCTGATTTCATGGTTTGCTTTTTGCTAGCAAATTGATGTTTCATTGATTTATTTAATTTTTACTTAAAAAGTTATTGTATTGAACTCTTGCTTATTATTTTATTACTATGCTAAGGCTTTTCTGTGAACTATGTATTGTTTTATAAAAATAACACTGCAGTAGAGTGTTCTGGTTGATTGCAAAAGCAATGCATTCAAAGTATGATGAAGGACATATAGTTGCAAACAAAGAAAATAATTTAATGTCATCTGCCTGTCTCATGTTACTAATATCCCTCGGGTTTTTTCTGCAGCACACAGATGTAGACATGGATGCGTATGAAACGGATGGGAAAGTTGAATGCAACTATTACTCGAAAGACATGTACCATGGTGAAGATGGGCAACTTACATGGTTCAATGCTGGTGTAAGGGTTGGTGTAGGAATAGGCCTTGGAATGTGCCTTGGTGGGGGAATTGGTGTTGGCCTGCTCATGCATTCTTGATTGCATTGTCTGACCCCTTGTGGTTTGGGCCTGATATCGTGTTCTTATGTGAAAGTGCTTTGGCTTTTGGCCAATCGTGTCACAAGGGAATGCTACATTTTGTGTGAATCTGTATGTAGTCCTTAGTATACGTATATATTTTCTTTGTATGAAGTAATCAGGAGGTTATTTCCGACGAGTAAACTGAGCTTTTGTAATTTTTCCATGTTCTTTATTTGAATTCAATTGTCGAAAAAAGTAGTATGGGCGAATCACATGAAATGCAGCTTGTACTTTATATTTTGTTTAGTGTATGCTTATTTTGCCTTGACACGTAAAGTTCTAATAGTATCTATTGAACTGTGTTACCAAATTTAGTTAGATTGTGCTTTTTATATCTGTCAAAAAATATTTCAAGATTCACCAATTTCAAAATTTATATGTTATTTAATACTATATTAATATTAAACTATTAAAAATTATTGAATAATCATATTTCTTGAATAAAATATTATAAGAAATTATTCTCAAAATTACAAAGTAAACGCGTTTTTCATTTTTATATTTTGAAAAACAATTTCTTAGAATGACAAAGAAAACGTATTTTCAGCAATTTCAAAACGGGCACTCAAAATACAAAATCCAAAATGAATTCAAAATTCAAAACTGAAACACGAAGAGAACAGCCCCTAAAATGTCAATCTCTAAACCTACATACACATTATCTAGCTTGCAAAGGGTGTTTCAGCCACTATTTTCACTCCTACTGTCAAGTTAGAGCCGAAAAATATAATAAAAGTGCAAAAGAAACAAAATAGATGAAGATATGACTCAGGGCTTGATTTCATTCATTTTCCTTCATGTTGCATGGAGTATTTACAGGAAAGATAGGTTAATGGTACTTTGGACATTTTGTATTTCTTGGACACACGTCAAGCACGTATTAGTAATGTCATTCTTTAATGAGTAATGTTATATAGCATCATCGATGCTAAAACACTACACAATGTGGCAAAATATGGTTTATTCATTTAAATGAGTTTCATAACATCACGTCTAATTGGAATTATCATTAATATCACCTAGATACCACATAGAGTGATGTTTTAGTGATAGTTGTGTTAGATAGTATTATTATTTTCTAATTACAAAATTGTTATCATTCAACTAATATGTTTGATTTTGTTTATACTTTTTAATGGCAGAATATGTGGAAGTGGTCCTCCTCCACGTGACATGAGGATATTCTATTGTTCTTTTATTTGAGACAATATGATAAAGTAACATGTCTTGTATATTTATAACTTTTCTTTGACTTCCTTCCTGACGTAGCGCGAAATAAGGAATTCAAGCGAAAACCTTAAAACACGAAATTTGGAATCCACCAAATTATGAAGAAAAATAAATTCTCGAATTTTATTAATGAACGATAATGAAAACAACGAAATAACCCCTTATTTATAAGGGTTTATATGGAAACGTAATTTAAAACAACTAAAATTAATGAAGACAAAATTCATACAAACTAAAATTGATAAAAAAAAAAAAATTTAAATAAACTAGATGACAAAAATAGTGCCAAAATATAAAAAATTAGTTTTCAAGTCCTAACCAAACTCGAATGGTCGGAATCCATCGTACATCACAACATGGCTCTGAGTATTGTTCGTCTTGTCGTCATTTTTTCAGAATGGTTCTATGGGCCAATCTGAAATTCGGATGTTTTTCCTTTACTATTAACTTTTTTCAAACATGTACTACATCACTTCCAGACAAGTAGGTTCACATCTTATCTTGCAACTAAAGATTGTGAGATGTTAAGATTCGTCCTATCTTGCCTAACCAGGAGGTATGCTAAGATGCAAGCAACCTCTAGTAAGTTTTTCCTCGTGAGGGGAATGGGCCATGGGATTTGGTTTACAAGATTTGAACAAGATACGCTTTTCAAGATTTGCAAGATCTTTTGGATCATTCATGATCTCAATGTAAAATTAAGCCTACCATGCCTAGCTCGTTTGACACCAAGGAAAAGATCTCACAACTAAAAAGTAAAATTAAGCCCTATTTTAGCCTTTGGATACAAATTTGTAAAATGATTTATTAATTTAATGAAAATTCAAAACTAAGCGTCCGTTCGATCCCCTTTTTTGCATTTTGCAATCTTTTTTTTTTCCACCTGTAAGCCCCCTTGGTTTAAAGATAGGAAAAAGTTTATGACACCTGATGTTTTCCGTTTGATTTTTTCTTTTAGATGCACAGTACAATATGCACTACATCCCTTTTTAACCCCTTGCATTCTATTTTCATAATATATTAATGGGTTCTAGGTAATTGCATAATTTTCTTTGATCAAAAGAGGGTATTTTGGTCCTTCACATTTCAACGGTTCCATTGATATTCATATGAATATGACAAATATGTTGACAGTTTTCAATTTTTAAATGCACATTTCCTGTAGCAAAATGTGTTATGGTGCCAAAATCTCTTTAAATGAGATCCAAACACATGCTTAATTTCAAACACATATTCATAATTATTACTTAACTAACACATATTGTTAATCCCACTATATCTCATTATAAATTATTTATAAATTTGGAGGACGGAGGCTTCGACACATTTATTAAATTCTCAAAACCCTAAGTACCTTGTTGTCTATTTTTTCATTGATTTTGACTGCTTTTGGTGCACTGTTTATCAGAGGTTAGGAAAATCAATGTTGGTTAGTACAAAAGTTAATCCATACACAACAAAAAATGATTGATTAAACTATGTAAAGTTATGTTGAAATATAACGAAATATACACTTCATATTAATTACATGTATATATCGAACTTGAAAATTTCAAGTGGATTAATAAGTAAACAATTGAGTTCTTACGCTTTCATGTCTACAACTCAATTCATCTGATTATCACAAGGATGAACCCAATCCGAAATATGAACCATAAAAGAAAATACATGTTAAACCAATCACATGAATATCAGTTACACTTTTTTAGGCCAAGAAGTTGATAGCGAGATCGACTAGAAATTGATCCCTATGATCGAAGTTATATACTCTATAATATAGATCTTATCCATACAAGTAATGAAGAACATACGAAAGCTTTGGAATATTATTTTCGAGCACATGCTTGAAATTTTCAAAATAGCTTGGTTCAACTTGAAAATTTCAAGCGGATGAATAAGAATCTTGAGAATGCGAAGGACTCTCTTTAACAGAATATATCATTTCTTGCTACGGAGGCCGTAAAGGAGTTGTGGATACGGCTGTACGAACATCCGATGCTTGATATCTCACGCGCAGACTTGTTGAACTTATACGTGAGTACACACATGTAATTTTGTTTATGAAAACAAAAAACTTTGGATCTGACTATTTTACTCGCTAATAAAATTCATTTGAAATCGAACCTCTCATTAATGAATAATGTTATTCGCGTCGCTTATTACAGTAGTCGTCCAACGTAACAAACACATGGTAGGTGATTATTTGATACAAGAGTGAACAAAAAATTACCATATTAATGCATCAAATAATCAATCACTTACCATCTGTATACCATTTAGGATGACTAACGTAGCGAACAACTGCGAATAACATTTCCCTTCATTAACTATATAGCCCCAAGCCTTCCAAGTTGTGCCCTTGGGCCAAGGCGACCCCCTTTACTTTTCTGTACTCTTCATTCACCCGTCACACTGAGGCGCTTTCCCTCGCTATAAATTTGCTATACATATAAACCGAACAAAAGGGGTTTATCTAGGGTTTAAGCAGAGCTCTCAAAACAGCAGCGGAATAATTTTTCTTAACTGTAAAATTCTAGGGTTTGAAGGAAAATGGGAGTTGACAAAGGTAAAAAGCAGAAACTCGAAGAAAACAACGCGACAGAGCACATTGATAGTGACCTACTCCTCTCCATTGAGAAGCTCCAGCAGGCCCAAGACGAACTTGAAAAGGTAAATATAATTTTTTCTCAATTTTTATTTCATGTTCTTCTGTGTTAGATAAGTAGAGATTTTTAAGAAAAAATTGCTTATTTTAATTTTTCCGAGTTATTTGGATTTACTACTGAGGATCCAAAAAAAGTAGATTAATTTCATTATAAATTTTGATAGGATTAACCAAATGTGTTTTGCATCATGAATTTTGTGCTGCGTTTCCTATTTCTACTTCAGCTTCCTTCTCTCCATGTTGAAAAAATTCTACTTTTCATTTTTCCGAGTTTTGTGACGACCCCAAAAAAATCTTTTTAATTAATTTTTTATGAATTTTGATTTCATATTTCTACTTCAATTTCCTTCTCTCGATGAGAGAAGAGTAGAGATTTTTGAGAGAAATTTTTTTGCTAATTTCAATTTTTTATTTTTGAGTTATTTGAGTTTTTGTGAGGAGGACCGAGAAAAAGTTATTAATCTCGTTATGAATTTTGATTACCTATTTCAAATTCAATTCCTTCTATATTATAAATTTGAGATTTTTAAGGAAAGATTGCTACTTTTGATTTTTTTCCCCATTATTTGGACCCAGAAGTTATTAGGACCTAGAATTGGAAAAAAATTCACACACACACACATATGGGGGTGTTTGAGCCACATTATTTCAAAAAAATTCATTTTTAAACAGTGATTTGACATTATTTCAACTACACATTTTTCAATAAAATAATATTATACGCAGATCAAAAAATTTTCCTTATTTTTTAACCATATATTTCTCATGAATACACTATTCAAGAATGCATTATTACCAAAATAATGTGGCTCAAACACCCATATATATATATATATATATATATATTTATTTATTTATTTATATTTATTTATTTATTTTTATCATTATTATTTTTTTCCCATGATAGATGTTGAAAGTTGCTCAATTCTAATATGTTATTAAATTTAGAACTAATCAAAACAGCGTTGCTCAATTGAAATTTAGAAAAGTGATTTTCAATTTATTTCTTGCTCATTTTTCCCTTTTGCAAGAAGTTAACGATATAATTGGCGTTGAACATTTGCCTAGTAGTATATTAATGAGCATGAATTTGAAACTAGTGCTACCTTATCTGATACTTCTATTACCTATGATGTCTTTGTAACTGTAATAATTAATCAATCAAATACTAGACTTTGCATTGAGCAATGGAGAATCACTTCCAAGTTGTTTTGCGGTTGTGATTTATTATCTAGAAGCCAGTACATAGCAAAAGTGATCTTGATGAGGCTGAAATTCATGATAACAATACCTAAGGAATTGCATGAATTTTGTTTATTTTGAGACATTGATATATTGTTATAATTTATTAGTTATGCTAGAAATGCCTTTGAACTTCAAAATGGAAGAGATTAAAATGTCAATTACTATTTTCACTGCTTGCAGATGAATGAAGAAGCCAGTGAAAAAGTCTTGGAAATAGAACAGAAGTACAGTGAGAAACGGAAGCCTGTCTATGATAAGCGAAATGACATCGTAAAGTCAATTCCGGACTTCTGGATGACTGCAGTAAGTGATCCCATTCTTGCTATTTGCAAGTCTTCATCACTTCTTAAAGTGTTTTATCCTTCCTCAATGACAAGTGTCCTTCCCTTGCAGTTTCTGAGTCATCCTGCCCTTAGTGAACTTTTAACTGAAGAAGACCAAAAGGTTCATCTTTTGCCAGTCTGCTTTCTCTAAATTAAGAAAACATAATAATAGTTTTATTATGGAATTAACTGTTGTGCTTGGTCTTGAATCTGACACAAGTTGATTTGATGCCAGATTTTCAAGTATTTAAGTTCCCTCGAAGTGGAAGAATCAAAAGACTTGAAATCAGGTTGTTCAATTACATTTGTGAGTCTTTTTTCTTTCTATTGTAGAATTTTACTCGTGGGAATATGCTGTTTTGATCTCTTATAGTGTATGAGGTCTGTATAAAATTTACTATTTTCAATGTTGCTCTCCCCTCAGAACTTCAAACCCAATCCATATTTTGAAGATTCAAAACTCACCAAGACTTTTATCTTCCTCGAGGATGGAACAACAAAAATAAGCTCTAAATCCATTAAGTGGAAAGAAGGCATGGTAGGTTTTGATATCGTCATACCCTGAGTCTGGCAACTTCTCTAAGTTCCATGTTTTAAAGCTTCTTATCATGTTTCCTGTGAAGGCAATGCCAAATGGTGTTGATGAGACGAAAGGAAACAAGCGGTCTCATTCTGAGGAAAGGTTGTGACATTGCACTTTTAAACGTTAATTTGTTTTATATTGTGCAATGGAACTGAGTTCAATAAATTGCAACACTAGGTACTTTTGCAATATGCAAGTTTGTACTCTATACTGGCAATGTTTTTAGCAACTTGGAGTCTAGTGGATTTTCTCTAGGACTGGTAATGATGCTGACACGTGAAGTGGTAAACTTAGGCTGCTGAGTGGGTTGCAACTTCATCCTAACAAATAGGTTGCTATGGTCATTTGGGGCCATTAACAAGACTGATACTGAACTATTATTATTTCTTCATTATGGTTGCATTCAAGTATGCCAGTGTTTATTTGAAAGAATATGATGACATCAGAAATAACAGAACCATCTTTGTACAGGAAATTTTCTTTCATTTCAAATAATTTGTGGATTTGTTTCTGCTGTATCTGTATTCCAGAATAGGTACTTGAACAGTATCATCTGCAAAATTCTTTGCTGGAAATCATTGGGTGTACTTGCCAAATTTGCTGCAAACAGCTTGAATGTTTTCATTAAGATTTTGTGCTCATGAGTTGTGCCATTTTCATTATGGATTTTATAGTCCTCATGAATGCACCCTTACAATATGCCTTCTTTGTTTTCCTTAGAATGCATCCTTGTGCTCTGATGTACATAGTTCTGTGTTATCTCCTTTAATTCTCGGTCATGGGACAGTTGTATCTTTATATGTACTTTACCTTGTACTCTTTTCTTGGGAGTAATAAATTGTTGCTGCTTTATAAAGGACAAGGGATGTAGTGTGGGAACCACTATGACTCTTGTGTTTTGGGTTGTGCATGTGCATAAATATATCACATTGGTTTGGGTTGACTTGCTTTATCTTAGAGCATCTGCGATGATGATCGTAGTGTGCAATTTCTGTTTTATCTTATTCTTTGTGGGCTCGTGATCGTGATATGTTATAATTGGATATTCTTTCTACTTGCTTTAATCTTTGCATTGATTCTCTTGAACTAGATTGCATTGCCATTTTGCAAGTACTTGTATATTCTCGTTTATCACTTTTTCTTTTGCTCAAGCCACATTGTTTGCAGCTGCTTTACCTGGTTTAGTGACACCCAGCATAAAGATGATATAGTGGAGATACATGATGAGGTAAATCTAGTCTTAAGCATGAATGGACTTTAGGTATAATTCAGTCTATGGGCATGGTCATTTTATATATATATATATATATATATTCTTAACCTTTATTTTTGCAGGTTGCTGAGATAATCAAGAACGATCTGTGGCCAAATCCTTTTACTTATTTTAACAATGTAAAATTCTTTTCCTGCCCCTCTTTGTACTTTCCCTGAAATATTTATTGAGGTTTATGGTGAGCCCAACCTGCGTGACTACTTAATATTCTTAGTGTGGTCTCTGTATTCTTGTCTTAGGAGGCTGATGAAGAATATTTTGACGTGGATGATGGCGATGATGAGGTAATTGAAGAAAATTACTGCTCTGCAGGAACTTATACAGTTCAATATAGATGATGGAGAAGTTATACATGGATTTATAATACGCTAGTGTATTTCTTGCTTGTTGCCTGCTTAGAGGGGAGACTATGGTCTTGAACATATAAATAGTGGGATCAAATTTTACAATTTAAACTTCTTTTTATCTCGTAGCTCTTTATGGTGTTTGATTCTCGTACCAAGCCTGGAATTCCTGTTAAGTTTAGTAGGGGAACCCCATATTGGGAGTGAGGTTGTTTAGTTGTGTGATTCTTGAAATTGACATCCAGACTAAATATATAAGCATCTGCAATAAGTGAATCATTTCAACTGAGAGAAATTTACTTGATCCATTATCTTCTCTATCTTTATTTGTATGTTACTATCTGTAGCAAGTGTTGATCTAAGATGTCACTGCAGAAAAACGGTAGTGATAGCTCAGAAGAGAACGGCGAGGATGATGAAGTTGAAGATGGTGACGAGTAACTACTTGGTTTTTCTTTCTTCTTAGACTTGCAGTGCTCTGGTAATGGCATCTGTAAAAGAGGTTCGAGGTTGGCAAAGAAAGCGAGTAAAAGAGCATATGATTGTTGACATTTTTCATTATTCTTTTTTCTCCTTTAGTGATCTTTTCCGCCACTTGGTGGTCTTCTAACCCTTAGCCTTTCATCGCCATGACCTTTTCTTTGTTCTCTCATTGATGAATTGATTGCATGGCTATATTTTGTCACGGTTTGGAGTTTTCATTACATGTTTGATCAAGCTATTTTGAAAATTTCAGGGAGTATTCTTGTTGGAAAAGAAAATTAAAGATTTGCTAGTCATAGTACATGTATCACTATAGTTTGTATCTTTTCCCGAGTGCAATATAGACTGAACTGTAGACATAGCCTTGTTTGATAATCATACTTTTCAAACTTCTCTTTTAAACACACTCATTTTGATTCACACATATACACAATTAAATATTTTACATGTAAATTCAAAAGAATTTCGTTTTTTGTTTTTTATTTTTATCTTTTTGCCCAAAGTATGGTAGTCGAACATGGATATAAAGCCATTAACAATAGCTTCCACTCTTGCAGTCATACCATATTTCTTGTCTTGAAAAGGTTGTCAAGGTTGGCATACAAGATCTGCCCATCTTGAGCTATGATCCCTCTGTTATCTGTACTTATTTTGTAGCGCTTTTTAAGTTGTGGATTAGAAGAGGTGTAAATGAAAAATTGTGAGTCCTACTAAATGCGTGAATGAAAAGTATGTTCAATCACTTTAAAATTTAAGCTTTTCCTATTATGTATTATAGACAAGCATGTTTTGAAAGTGTGTAAATAATTGTAATTATAGATAGGTACAAATGAGCTATAGATAAGTTGATAATATTTGTGAATCTTTTGAAAAGTGTGAATAAAAAATGATTTAAGTGTTTGTAAATTGTTTATAAACACGTCAAAGTTGAAATGCCATAAAATTGCTCCATGCAGCGAAAGAAATAAAAAAAGGAAAAAAATCAAAAGATCTGGTTGTTGAGAGAAACAGATTTATTGTCGTAATTTATTATTATTATTATTATTATTATTATTATTATTTCAATAGCAGGCCATAATAATCCAGCATTGGAAAGGTCCAGAACAAAGGCAAAGAGGAAATGAATAAGGTGGTGTGGGATCCATTCCTTCCTACCTTTGATCATCAATATCTTTAGAGTTATTATCTCGGTAAAAGATTTTTCTCGAGTGGAATTCTGTAATAATTATGTGGAAGTTTTTCTGTATGTGTCGCAACACTTCTTTAACTCTCAATTTAATTTTGGGGCATTTGCAAAAATGTCCAATTTTACATATGTCAATCCAAAAATGTCCACTTTTGATGATCTTTACAAAAATGATCAAATTTGATATCAAATTCTCTATTTTATCCTTAATGAAAGAATAAATAATTTCATATTGTACATGTCAAATCACAATTAATGCTAAACACAGAATGTCGATAACAACATTTAAAGTGTAGAGAAATGTTATGTTCGAAATGAAATATTATTCTAGATATTTAATATATCGAGAACATTTAATATTGCGATTTGACGTGTATTTTTAAAATATAAACGGATTCAAATATTGAAGACGACTTTTGAAATGTCGAGATCATTTTAATGTAGCTTCTCATGGAAGCTATTTAAGGGTACTCGTCCAAATAATTGTAAAAATGGACATTGAAAAATTTTAAACATTTTTGCAAATGACTATATCTAAATGGACATTTTTTTTTTTTTTTTTTTTTTTTTATTTTCCTTGTTTTTTTTTTTTTTTTTTTGTAATTTCCTCTTTAAATTTTTTTGACTTGGGATTGGGACCCAACCTGGCAACCTTTTGCCTCTATGGATTCAATCATAAAAAAGGAGCATCCCACGTGGGCTCTGAATCAAAGCCTCTGTCCGGTACAGTCAAACGAGCCTTCACCCCTTTGTATATAACCAAAAAAAAATTAGAATTAATCTACTTTACCTAAAGAAATTGTCCACAAGCAGTGACAAATGATGAGTTGAAGGGAAATTATTGGAAGAAAAAAGACTGTATTTTAAATTGTTCAATGATAAAGTGTCATATGATCATATGAAAATCATTATATAATATTTGATGTACATGTAGTAAGATTGAAAAATTAAACTGGTCTTGAAATTTGACTGTTTGTAACTTTCTAAAATGTCAATCTTATCGCAATTTAAGTGACGTCAAAGTCTGGTCATATGTTTTTATTTCTTTTTAAATGAATATATAAACTTATAACAAGGTCCCAATAAAAAGCACTTATTGTCTTTGGAAAAAGTCATAAATATAAGAAATTCTTAACAAAATTCCTACCAATACTGATTTGACCGCAGATGATTGGATTATTTTTTGTTTTCTTTTTTCATCTTCTAATTAATTCTCATTATGTATTGTCTGTCAAAATTTTCTATACTTGTAGCATGATTCATATTCTTTTCACTTCCGAATGTCTGCTTTTTCTAAGAGCACACCACACTAGTATAATTCATACTCATTATCTTTCTTACTTAGCTTCGATTCTCCTCCTAACTATCCCCCCTGTCTCTAAAAGCAATTCCATGGCATCAATCTAAAGAATGAGAGAGAGTACATATATTTTGATCATTCTATAGAGATACAAAAGATACAAACACAGAGAATTAAGTTAAAGAACCTTTTTTTGAGAAAGGGAAAGAGAAATAAGGCTTTTTTCTTTTTCTTTTTTTTCCTTTTCTTGCTAGTGATCATGGAAGGAGGTGATGATCATCTCCACCGCGGCCGGCACAACTTTCCATTCCAATTGTTTGAGAAGAAAGAAGATGAAGCCAGCTCCTCCACCTCAAATTATCCATCTCTAGCCATCTCCGACGCAGCAGCCGATACATTAAACCCTAGCGTTACTACTCCACCACCAACAGCTTCCTCAAGCCACCACGTCTCCAACGAGACATCGAAGAAGCCGCCACCCAAGCGTACCACAACAAAAGATCGGCATACCAAGGTCGATGGACGTGGACGACGAATCCGAATGCCTGCACTTTGTGCTGCTAGGGTTTTTCAGCTCACAAGAGAACTCGGCCATAAGTCCGATGGCGAAACCATTGAATGGCTGCTTCAACAAGCTGAGCCGGCTGTCATTGCCGTCACTGGCACCGGTACAATCCCGGCTAACTTCACTTCACTTAATATAAGTTTACGAAGCTCAGGTTCAAGCATATCAGTGCCATCTCAATTAAGATCTACGTACTTCGATTCGAATTTCTTGACGACACAACGCCGAGGACTTTTACCAAGCATCGGATTATCATCAGAGAATCCCCCAACGACGATGTTGAACTTTCAGTCGACAAGCCTTAACCCTAATTTGTTGCAGGCTAAGCCGGAGTTTCGAGAGAATACACTAGAGTTAATGGAAACTGAGGAAAGTACAGGGCGAAAGCGTAGGCTGGAGCAAGAATTACAGCAATCTCAGAATCAAATAGGAAATTATTTTCTGCAGTCGAGTACCGGCTCGATTCCGGCAAACCATGCTTCAATTCCGGCTAATTTTCGGCAGCCGATGGCCGGTTCAAATAACCAAGTCATGAATGGTGATCCCATTTGGACATTTCCTTCAATTAGTAACAGTTCTGCTGCTGCATTGTATAGAGGTACTATGTCTAGTGGGCTACATTTTATGAATTTTCCCACTCCCGTTGCACTATGGCCTAGTCAACAATTAGGTTCGAGTACTGGCGGTGGCAGAGGTGGCCCGATGGAAGGGCAACTTGGCATGCTTACTGGGCCAAATCAGTATCGGATAGGCAACAATCCCGATGAATCTGAATCTCACGTGAGTGAGTCTCAATAATATTGAATATATAAATGAATTCACGCTAAAAACTCATTTTTTTAGAAAAGATGGTCAAAATAAAGAGCTATCGGAAATGGTCATCATTTTCACCCCATTTGTGTAGTTTGATGTAATTTAACAACACATATCTTGAGGGAAGATTTAAGTTTTGCTTTGTTTTCTTTAATATCGTGAGATTGATTTCAACGTTAGGATTTGGAAAGTTGCTATTTTGACATTTTTTTCGGCCAATTTTGAATTTTTAGCCACACAGATACATGTAATTCTATTATTTAATTTGCTTGATTTTGCCATATATTAAAAAATATATGAACTTTTAATGGTATATGGATTTTCACTTTCCTTCAATAATTTTTATGCTCCTCGCTTGGTTTATTTATGAGCTTTGTGAAAGATTCTTAAGCTCTTCTTGGTAGTTTTCTAACCCTTTTTTTATTTTTTTTAATGTAACTCTATTAATAACTTTTGAAAGCTCGAGTGGTACATCTGATCGATACGTGATGGTCGATCCTACCGAACCACTTGATGAGACTATGTTGTTTGTAGCTTTATAATGCATAAAATAACAAAGAATTCAAAAAATGTATCTGAAAATCATTTTTTAAATTGTCGGCTCTTCTTGGTGGGAGAAGTTTTATGGCAAGATGAGATTGACTAAATTATTCTAATTTGGAATTACCCTAATGTTTGGGTGATTAGGGTTTTATTAGGAAAATCCAATCAATCAGATTGATTGAAGTCAATTATTGAATCAATCATACTATACATTCAGGCTCAAATTCGATACATGATTGAACGGTTTAAAATATTAAAACAAAAACACCTAGTCATTTTCTAACACTTCAATATGTCTCTTCACTCCTATTTTTAAGCTTGGTTAAGTGGCTTTAGTCTTGTTGAATAGTTGACAAACTTGTTTGTGGTACATTCAAGAGCCTTCGGTGTCATGACATCCTCCATTTGGTCCCTTAGCTCATGCATTTAGTGGAACCCTATTGTGAGGTGTCAATCTTGACGACACTCCTCGAAATGGAACTCCAATCAAGATACTACTACTCCTCATCATCGAGTCTTATCATCTTCATATATCCGATTTTGTAGAAGTTAGTTTTGATTTTACAACTTGTACAACATTCAAAAAAAATTTGAATTAACTCATATTTAAACGAGAAACCCACGACGATTTGATAAAGATTTATTGCACCAATGCAATTAGAGGTGATGAGGAAATTGCTTCTTTTGAAAAATTGAGTACTAATTTGGTACTCTGGACAATTGTATTAACCCTTATTGAGATTTTTTTTTTTAAGAATGTATTTTTTAAATCTCATTTTTAATTACATATTCTTAGTTCTCTCATAAAATAATTATACACATATTTCAAAATTTTTTGATTTTTTATCCACACAATTTTCAAAAAATTACTATTTTATAATACATTTCACCTCAAAAATGGGGATCAAAAGGGGCTTAATTTTCTTGAAATTAATTGCACTGGTGTGGGGCCCATACCTTATCATCTCTAGGAGTTGGCTTTGGTGGTAGGGCCCACGTGCTGGAAATTTGCCTTAACAGTTGGATCATTCCTTCTCTATTTAGCTGGCAACATCAAGATCAGTGGTGGATTGGCCCACCAACTCTTGATCAGGACAGTTGCAGTGGGTCAATCTGTCAATGGGTTCACACTGAATGTGTAGTGTTTCCTTCAGAAAAAATGCGTAGAATCTAGAGATTTTTCTTGCCACATGTTATCGTGTCTCCCATGAGAAGAAATTTTAGTTGGTGTTAAACAGAGACGGATTTGGGCCACCCTCAGGCCCAACAACTTTTGTTTAAAGGTTTTTTTTTTTTTTTTTTGGGGTATAAAACCAGATTTTATATGTATAATTTTTTTTGTCCACATAGTAGCCCGATCTTGGATCCAATCCTGGATCCGTCCCTGGTGTTAAAATAATACAAGAAAATTAATATTCATAATATTATCCAAATTTCAGCTAAGATTTGACAAAAGGTAGTACCCCACCCCCACTTGCTTGAGAGAAAGTATGTTCAATTACGTTGCCACATAAATATCGATCCATGCAAAATTTGACGGGCTAAAGTACAATATTGAATAAAGTGCAATTTGAATTATTGTACCTATTGATAACCATTCATGGTACAAATGAACGTGAGACATTATTTCTATGGTCAAATCGTTGATTTATAAATAAAAATGTGTCACAAATAAAGTTAATACTTTATCTTTTGTCATGGTTAATGCACTTGAGTACTCATAACAAACACATCTTTATAAACAATTGCGATGGATGAATGAAGAGCTTTCCTTCCTTTTCGTTCTTCAAAGCACTAATTTTAAGAATAAGCAATTGTCACTTTCTCAGTCTCTCTGTCCAAGTGCTCTCCACTTATTCAACTAAACTCTATATGTGGTTACTTTGTAAATGATATTGAAACTCGAAAGGGAAACCTCCTCTTGGATCACTTTCTTCTCCCCCCTTTCATTTTCTCTTTAACTATAACAACAACTATCTATGTCAATTTCAAGTGGGATATCATAAAAATTCCCGACCTTCATTGTATTGATGAAGACTCTTAAAAGAAATTCAAGAAAAAAGAAATTGACAAGAATTTATTGTACAGAGTTGAATCTCAGTATGTGGTGCAACTTCCAGCAGAAATTAGCAACAGAAATCTATTAAAAAAAGGACTTCATTATTATGAATTTCCATTATATTGAAGTTGTCATATGGTAGGTACAACAATGGCACGTGGATTGAAACTATGGTGTATAGACAAATGGTCCCCTTGACAAATAGTGTATTGTTAAGATTATTTTATACATTTATTTAGGCCATTAAATTAAGGTATTTGTTAGTAATTTGAATGAATTACAGCCTAATTTTGTGTTAATTATGTTTGTTAGGTTAAAATCAATGCAAAAATTGGTGGATTTGGAATAAAGGAACAAAAACGTATGAAAATGAAGGAATTCTAAAGTTTGGGGACCAAAGTGTAAACATCCAATAGTCGATTCAGATCACAAAACGATGATTGAAGATCATATGATGTCAATTGGATGCAATTGGAGGTCAAATGAATGAAATAGAGTTGAAACATTTTCACAAATCAATTTTCAGTCGAAGAAGTTATGTTTCGAAATTTTTGCCTCAATTTAAAACCAATTTTTCGGATAGCAAACATTTGAATTGAAAAATTTTTATTTCAGGAAGAATTGTAGGTCTTTGAGTAAGCTTTCTAATTCACTTTAAATCACTTCAATTAGAGTTTGGAAGATAAATTTATGGCCAAATTAGCGAAACTTTCTAGAGAAAATGCATACAGCAACGCCGCGTGCGAGGCCAGCAATGGTGCGCCCGCACCACCCTTTTTTCTCCAACCTAAGAATAAAATCATTGATCGGTGCACGCGCAATGAACTATATGGCGCGTGAGCACGGGCCAATTTTTCTATGACAGGCCAATTTCCTTATTCTGATAAAATTCTACATGGAAATAATATGTTGACATCCTATATATGCCTAAACACGCCCAAAACGTGGAGGACCTCCTTAGACCTAATTTTTCATCATATTTTACATATTTTGGAGGCAATAACAAGTTTATACATCAATTCAAAGCGAATCATACAAGGATTTTGAATATTCATAGCCAGTTTCAAGATTTAAGCCAGGAACGTGGATTTCTCCTACTTCTTCCATCTTTCTTATTTTCGGGTGATGTTTTTCCAATAATTCTTGTATAATTTAATTATAAGAATGTTAGACTAATTTTTTCATTGTATCGGATGAACGATGAATCCTATTGTTGGTTTATTTTAATTCAAGACAATTCATTCAGTATTTCATGATTTTTCTTGATTGATTTCGCATTTCCATTGGACTATTTGATTGTTTGATCACCAATTAAATAATAAGTTACTTGTTGTAGTGTATGAATATTCATAATAAGCCTAAAACGTGGTAAAATCAACACATAGACAATAGGTATTAGAAATAATATTTATGACATGTTTAATCATGTATAATAAATCATGTGAATCAATGCATGTTTTTTTATATGAATTCAGATTAGGAATAGAATCAAATCGTGTTAAACATAGGTTAAATATATCTCGGGAAAGAATATTGAATAAAAGTGGATTATCGATTATTTTGAATGCATAAATTTACTAAATTATGAATTAAGAGTTGAATTAAATGGCAGTAGGGAGATTCACGATTCCAATGCAAATATTCACATATTAGTTCAATATTTTATTTATTTTATTAGTTTAGGATTAGTATTAAATATACACAAACCACTTTTTTTATTTTATTTTATTTCGAATTTAATAAAAGTTACTGAACTAGATATTAGACCTTATTCCTCGCGAGAATGATACTCTTAACTCACAAATTTTATTACTTGTACAACGATCCCGTATGCTTGCGGGTTTTCTAACGAACATGTATTTATCAGACTATCTAAAAAATATCAAATAATAATGTCTTATTTTTGGAAGGTAATTAACAAAATGCGATTTTATGTATTTAATATGGACGAAATTTGCTAAATTTGAATTCGTAAACAGTTGCTTAATCGCACTTTTGGTTTCTAAAAAATTAATGTACTTCAATAAAGTGATTTAGCATGCATTCTTACATCAAATCTCATCACATTTTACTTATAAAAATTACCTATGGTAAAAGCGTGTATAAATATATTCGGTGGACAATCTTTAAGTTCAATTCCTTGCTATAGTAGCATGAGCTATATATATATATATATATATAATAGAATCTAAAAAATTCAGTTTTCATTTTTTAATTTCAAGTTTTCAGTTTTAGTTTTCTTTTAATTTTTCAGTTTTTGCTTTAATTTTAGATTCAATACAAAAAATTGAAACTCATTATTATATTTGTAACCTATGTTGAATTTTATTAACGAGATGGTCGAATTTTCTACTATAAAAATGGGTGGATTTCACATTTTTTGACACATAACAAATCAAACACAAAAGATAATCTCTAGTGTTTTCATACTACTCTCTTTCATAATACTCTCTAATTATTTTATACTATATTTCTATAGTTTGTGACAAGTTGATGTGAGGTTTGTTCTTTATCTCTTTATGATTGTGCTCATAGAAGGAGAGCTACATAAA